ATCTAATTACTTTTAGATAATTAATGTCCGATTTTAAAAATAAATGTTCAGAAAATGTAAATAAAAAGCTTTATCTCAGCGTTTTATCTTGTCCCCCTTTGTAGAAGAAAAAGTCCCCCTTTATTTCTTTTTTAGTTGGCATCCCTGCTAGGTGGTGACGTCGGTGTAAATGACTCTGAGAACACTTCAGCCCAGATCAGCCTACTTGATTGGATATAAAACAACGAATTTTCTGTTTAAAATAAAATTTTTGGTGGATTGAACTTCATAAATAGCAGAAAATTCAATCAAGAGGAAAACACAAGAATGTCGATACCTAGAGAGAACTTTCAACGTAAACTACTCAACGCAATCTCTCCTGTCAGCGCATTGAACACGCAAACGCTGCACTGGATTGTACCTAAATACGCGTGTATCGTGATCAGCATACTCGTTTTGATACAAAAGAACGGTTTTTTCTGTTTAAAATAAAATTTTTCGTGAATTGTAGTAAAATGGGTTATGTGGTGCAGCTAATTGTAGTGCATTTTTCAGCCTGTTGCAAGGATTTTGAAGTTGGGCCCTATTTTGTAGAGAATTCAACGCTCTACAAGATGGTATGAAGGACTTTGAAGGTTCTTTCAACCGGAGTGAGAAAATTCGATTGCAATCAAAAAAATTCAGTTTTTAAAACACCAGTTGTTTTACTAATTACAGGTAACGTTCCCCTTCGATTCACTGAACCTTGACTGAAAATGACTCTTTAATAATGATATGGTGTTAAATGTGGTTAGGTTTATAAAGGAAAAGAGAAACGCCAATTATTGTTGTTTTTTTAACATTGCTACGTGCTGATGTGTTATGCTTCAGTGCTCAAGCGTGCTAAATCACATAACCAGAGAGACTGTATGATATGTTTTTGTGCATCACACCTTCATACGCACTTTCAATGGTTTCGTCGTGACACACAAACAAGTAGAGCCAATTAGCGATCCACTTCTGAATGCACTGAAAGCATTAGAACTCCAAACTCCACGCCTAACCAAACTTGATGAAGCTAAGGTAGCATATGCAGAATTTCAAGGCAACTCCGATAGCAGGCTTCTTATAATTCCATCTGGAGCTTCTGAAGTGGTAATCACAGTCACAGTCCACAGAAAAATTCAACAAGTGTAGTAATTCCAGTCTACTCACTTTATTCACGACTATTTTCTAAAAAGCTTTTCACCATTGTGTAACTTTTTTTCTTTTTCTCTTACACCGGAAAGTAATGTATAGATACGGCCAAAGAATGAAATCTGACTGATCATATCAAAAGAGATGAGCCCAACGGAATCTGGCTGTTTCTGGTCATACCTATCTAAATACGTGTTATGCAACAGAATTCTGACGAAAGCATACACCCGATTTTTAAAATATCACTTGAATTACCTCGATAATAATAGATAGTTATAGAGTTTTAAAAGGCTTAGATTTCTCTTTACTTTTGAAATCTCACGTATATGGTTCCTCCGTAAATTAAAAGGTTCCATTGATAGATACATGCGCGACACCTGTACAATAATAAATTACTTTTTTTTATAAGCGACCGCTATTTGGGAAAATGTTTTTTTGTCATTAGATCGGCGAGACCATTGCAGCTCTACGCTTATCAGCGTTATGTTATAGAATATACCAAAATTTAGCGAAATCAAACTATTTTCTCAGCCGCAAATATTAAAATTGAATTCAGGATACCGCAGCGCGTAGAATAAGCACAGAGCGCATCAAAACGGGTGCTCTATACGCTAATTAAAAGTAAGTGCGCATGAACGATACAAACTGCGCCTAACATGAAAGATAATGACACATTAACTGGTTTTCTTTATTTCAGCAGCTAATTAAAAATATGCGCATATGCCTGAGAATTCAAGCACTTGCTACAAGAAAGTCTGACATAATTTCTTTCGCGTTTTGTAATAATTTTGGATCCTCTTTTCGACCTTGATCACCTTGACCTTGATCAGTTCTACTGGGACTTTTCTTCAAGAACATGATTTAATCAACTTTTTGAGGTTTTGTCGATCAAACGAACTCTCGCCATACTGCTACGTACTCATTATGCATTAAAATTTCCACCCTTTGCACCTTGTTCTCGAAGAAAACACCGGGTAAAACATCGTGTAATAAATAGATAATTCAGTTCTCCACAGACTTAGGGATGCACCAAACTCGAATATTTGTGTTTGGTGGGTTTGGGCTTGCTGAAGATTTGGGGTTTGTAACCCCAAACAGTTTGGGTTTGGTGATCAAACTCAACGAAAGTCTTATTATCGTTAGTAAGCTGCTAGACATATGCCCATAATAAATTTCAGTCGATCACCTTATTCTTATATATTTGACATAGTAGAATACATTTTTGCTTACTTCTTTCGTCGACTTCCGTCCTTGCTCTTAAATCAACCGAGAATGAAGACAGAAATGCGTTCTTACTCCTTCCTTAGTAGACTTTCTCCATTATCACAGCGTTTGCTTCATCATAAAATGCGCTAAAAGAGACTATATGTGTTCGAGCGATTTCTTCTGTCGCTCTGATGTTTAAAGTGATACATGGGAATATACAAAACCGCTATGGCTGTGTGGTTAAGTTGTTTGGCACGTACCTTCAAGATACTATTTTTGAGTCTCGGCGCCCCAAGATATGATCGCGGGCAAGTCATTAACGGTGTTTGGCTCGGATTACCCGTCCGATGGTATGCTGATTACGTTGTGACATACACCGACCCTCATAGCTAGTATGTAGTTAGTCAGTGTGTACGGGGAGAGGAGCTCAAGCGATTGAGCGAAAGAACTCTGAGTCAGGCTGGCCTCCTGTTCAGAGCTACAGCCAGTATTAGTTGTAGGGAAAATATCGAGCTTACGAAACTGTCTCCAGACATCATCCTATTTGTATCTGTTTTTGTTAACTTCATCATACAACACTAATTTTTTCAATAAAATAAAGCTTATTAACCCATTTCATAAATCATTTAGTGATATTAAACATCAGTTATGTGTATTTGGCTAATGTATTTTATTTTATTTTAAGTATTATTATGCATCAAATATATAGATGTACTCATGAGAGTAGATGTTTCTTCGACCGATAAATAATGTTCCTCAAACATATTATTCGACTAATATTATGCATACCGAAAAAACATGTTTGTTTTTATGTATCTTTACTTTTCTCACTCATTTTGCTTGAAAAATGCTGTAAGATACGCTATGTGAATGCTCGTAGTTTCCATTATGTTCTGAAAAAATCTAAATAAATGTTTTTTGTAGTAGTTCTATACTTTATATATTCATCTTCGTTCCGTATGTATTATTATTGGGTGTCGATTGTTTTGATCACCAAAAAAAGATACTTTTGATCACCAAATTTTCTAGCATCCCATTTAGATTTTTCAACAGAGTGTAATGTACTTATAAACATATTAATTAAATTTTAACAAAGGCAATATTTTTACAGTTTTATTTACATTTATTTACAAATTTAAAGCTTTGCTAACTTTCCTGGGGCGTCCTTTTGTTTTTTGGTTGCGGAAGAGATGCGGAAATTTGACTGATATTGACTGATCTTATGAATGAAGAAGAAATTATGAAGTTTCCAACTCTTTAAAAGATTTGGTGATCAGAAGTATCTTTCTTTGGTGATCATTTGTATCTAAAGGCGTTTGGTGATCAAAAATATGTTTTTTTGGTGATCAGAAGTACATTTACTCATTATTATTATTATTGAACAATTTAATAATATATAAAATGTTTTCTTTTTTTATTTATTCTTCCAGTAGAAAAGACGTTCTAGCTACGACCAGCAAACCTGATTACTGGTTCTTGAAGAGAAAACCGGGTAAAACATGGTGAAATCAAGATTTTCGAAATGGCTCTAGAAAGCATTTCTTGGACACCAGCAGTCCAGTTGATTTATTTGCAGCCAAGGATGAGGTATTTCACTATCGGCGAAAAGTCTTTAATGGTCATATGGCATTTGAACGACATCGAAACTTTCCTTTTAGATGCACTTTTTCATGTAGAATTAGAATAAAAAACTTTCAAACCATCCAAACTCACTGAGTTGGAGATTTAGGTTCAGTTTATAAAATATTCAATTTTTACTTCTTTAAAATTTTCAATTGTCAAAAAATCCTTTGGAAGGCTAAAACAAACATATTCTGATTCAGCTCGATGAGCTCTATCGATCAATGTATAAATATCGAAAAAACAAAATGCGCTCAAGTTTTGAATCTTCGGTACCTTACATTTATCATTCTTTGACACACAATAAACCTTGTTAGAATAGTATCAACACATCTTCCACATCAGTCAAAATTAAAGTAAGGTTTGTGTACCTAGGATAGCATTAGATGCTAGTAAAATACCTCAAATAACAGTAGATAATGAGCTTGTTGAATATACCGTGAATAGAACTAAATACGCGATACTTTTCCAGTCTTGGAAATTAACTACTTAGTATCCTCAAAATTTCCATGAAAACAGTGTATTAATCCCGTCATATATTGCCGCAGAGGTCTCCTCTGTATTGTATTGTCAACTATAAGGACAGCTTTCGGCCAATTTCTTGACAAAAAATGCTTTTTCATATAACAAGTCCCCTAGGGGACGATATAAAGAACGAAATTGCTTTCAGCAAATTTGAACAACGTTCCGAGAGAACAAACATCCGGACAATACTCCCAGTCTTCGACCACTAGAGCTTCCAAACGATTATATTCCTTAGCCATTAACTTCCGTTTAACTAGCTTTAAGTTTCCAACTTATTTTATTGCCGAAGTGCAACAATCAACAGCAAAAACACACATTTTCCTTTTGCGGAATTCACTCGCTACTTCTTAACGTCATTTTAGCAAACCAATGTGCAACTTTCAAACGTAATGAAAGGAAGAACTTAAAATACTTTACATTTTTTCCAACGCCTGTTGAACTTAAACAAAAGCTATAAGGGAATCTAAACCTTTTGGTAATTTGCGCACGTTGTCTCAGTCACACGCACCAAGAAATATAATGACGTTGGAATCCTCCTGATTTGCAACAGCTACATCAGTAATGTTATCACCATTGAAATCACCAGTTGCCACAGAAACTGGCGAATTCCCAGTAGTATATTTCACCTGAGTTCGAAACGTTCCGTGGGCGTTACCGAGCAATATACTGACTGTGTTATCACCGGTATTTGCAACAGCAAAATCAGGCCTGTGATCACCATTAAAATCACCTGTTGTCACAGAATGTGGAAAAACCCCAGTGCTATATGTGACCTGAATTTGAAATGTTCCGTCGCCCTTACCGAGCAGTATACTGACAGTATTATCACCGGTATTTGCAACAGCTAAATCAATTCTGTGATCACCATTGAAGTCACCTGTTGTCACAGACTGTGGAGAAACCCCAGTTCTATATGTTAGTTGACTTTGAAATGTTCCGTTGCCGTTACCTAGGAATATACCAACGGTGTTATCACCGGTATTTGCAACAGCTAAATCAACTCTGTTATTACCATTGAAATCACCTGTTGCCACAGAATATGGAAACTTCCCAGTGGTATACCTCACTTGAGTCTGAAATGTTCCATTGCCGTTACCGAGCAGTATACTGATGGTGTTATCACCGGAATTCGCAACACCCAAATCGGTTGTGTTATTGCAATCGAAATCACTCGTTGCCACAGAATATGGAACATGTCCACTGTTATATGGGACTTCACGTTGAAAGGTTCCGTCGCCGTTACCGAGAAATATACTGACGGTGGCAGCAAAGCTATTTGAAACAGCTAAATCAGTTCTGTTATCGCCATTGAAATCCCCTCCTGTCACAGAATATGGAAAACTCCCAGTGTTGTAAGTAATCTGGCCCTGCAATATTCCGTTGCGGTTACTAAGCAATATACTGACGGTGTTATCAAGGTTATTTGCAACAGCTAAATCAGGTCTGTGATCACCATTGAAATCACCTGTTATCACAGACTGTGGCAACATCCCAGTGTGATAAGTGATTTGGCTCTGAAATATTCCTTTGCCGTTAGAGAGCAATATACCGACAGTGTTCTGCTCGCTATTTGCGACAGCTAAATCAGCTCTGTGATCACCATTAAAATCAGCTGTTGCCACGGAGCATGGTGCGTTCCCAGTTGTATATTGGACTTGATGTTGAAATGTTCCGTCGCCGTTACCGAACAGTATACTGACGGTAGTATCCTGGAGATTTGCCACAGCTAAATCAGTTCTATTATCATCATTGAAATCACCTGTTGTCACAGAATATGGTGAATTCCCAGTTGTATAAGAGACTTGACTTTGAAAAGTGCCGTTGCCGTTACCGAGCAGTATACTAACGGTGTTATTACCGGTATTTGTAACAGCTAAATCAGTTCTGTTATCACCATTGAAATCACCTTCTGTCGCAGAAAACGGAGAACTCCCCGTAGTATATTTCATCTGAGTTCGAAACGTTCCGTTGCCCTTACCGAGAAGTATACTAACGGTGTCATCACCGATATTCGTAACAGCTAAATCAGCTCTATTATCACCATTAAAATCACCTGTTGTCACAGACTGAGGAGAAACGCTAGTGCGATAAATGAGTTGAGTTTGAAATGTTCCGTAGCGGTTACCAAGCAATATACTGATGGTGTTATCACCGTTATTTGCAACAGCTAAATCAGTTGTGCCATCACCATTAAAATCACCTGTTGTCACAGACTGTGGAACAGCGCCAGTGCCATATGTGAGTTGATTTTGAAAAGTGCCGTCGCCGTTGGCGAGCAGTATACTGACGGTGTTGTCATAACTATTTGCGAGAGCTAAATCACGTCTGTTGTCACCATTGAAATCACCCGTTGTCACAAAAGCTGGAAGGTTTCCAGTGGCATATATGGCCTGACTTTGAAAGGTTCCGTCGCCGTTACCGAGCAATATACTGACGACGCTATCATAGTTACTAGCAACGGCTAAATCAGTTCTGTTATCACCATTGAAATCACCTGTTGTCGCAGAAATTGGATATCTCGCGGTGGCATATCTCACATGAGTTAGGAATCGTGGAGTACACGCTAGAGTGAAGCAGAAGAGGTTTGCTGATTTAGTTTCAAGTCTATAGCAATAGAATTTTGATGTATTAGATTCCAGCTTGAAACGTGCAGTGCTGTTTCCTTTGGTATGCGCGGGGATACAGTCTGATTAATGCCAGTATCAGTTTATGATACTGTATCAACCCCGCTTCTCCCGCGTCTTTAGTCTCAAGAAGAAAAACACAAGATTCTATGATACAACAATTGTGTCACATACTCGGTAGTGGCGGGCGTCTTGTGCCGAGCACTGAACCGACAATGATGCCGGTGAGGCAAAGAAGGACCAGCAGGCTTAGTTCACAAATTGTTCGTCGTTTCTTGTACCACGGAACTTTTTTGTTCTCCGGTGGATAGAGGTGAGCACCTAAAGATGAATACATGAGATATCCATCGATGTCCTGATATCTATGGCTACCTTCGAATGGAAGTTCGAGAAGTGTCTCGATCGGTTTTATTTGTTTTAAGTGGACAATATGCAGATCAGGTGCGGGACTGAACTGTGATTGAACTTCCATGTAGGTACCGGGTAGAAGAAGAATTTCGTCTTCGGTAACGAAATGCGAATGAGCACGTACTGTTCGACCGTTGATGGCTTCGACGGAGAAGAGCGTCCGATCACCCACATTGCCCAAATACATGTTGTTCTCGAGCACAGTCAGCGCAATCGTGCACGATGAAAAACTCCACCATGTTACCCGAGTGCCGGGCGGAAAATCTGCACTCAAATCTTTGCCTACCCCTCGCCAGACGGTCTGTGGTGGGACGCATGGCAGTTTGACCAGAGCAGTGACGAACAATTTGAGGTACTTGAAATAGGGATAAAGTTCCTCGCGATCGGCCTTCTTCAGCGTGTAATTAAGCATTGAATAGAGACTTCGGTGCGGTCCCACCCACTCGATCGTGTAGAGCCGAATCGCAGCACTCTCGTCAATAGTCAGGCCGTCGGGCGGCTGAATC